GGGACCGGAATTCTCCACAACATTGGCAACGTGTATGCTCTCGCTTGATTAACTGAACACACAGGCGGGGTTCCGCGATCAGAGAGCATGGGTTTTGATAGAGGCAGGAACAAGGTCCAAGCCGTGGGAAAATGCTGACAACTACGAGCAACTCAAGACACCACGGAAATAACGCGCCCCGGTAGCTCGATTAAGGTGAGGTGGGCGTTGTTGACCTCAGGCTAATAGACGATGTGATGTGACGAAGGTTTGTATCCTGCTTGGCCTTCCTCTTTGTGACCTCGGCTGATACTTTCGAGAAACGTACCGAGCGGTGTAAGACTGGCGTCTGGAAAAAAAAAAGAATGACTACAACATTTCTCCTGCGTGACCTCGGCTGATACCTCCGAGAAACGTGCAGGACGGTGCTACACTGACATTCAAAATAAACAGCATGACCAGAAAGACAGCAGGGGATCCTCTACTGGAGCTACGAGCAACAACGGTACAGCAGATGGGAGGAAAAATCGCCGCCTCACCAGCCTCGTCAGCTGCCGCGGCTCCGGCAAGTACCCTTCCTCCATGAACCTCTCCAGGAGCACCAGCAGCAGCGCAAGGCAAGCCAGAGAGATCGCCGCGGTGCTTTCCCCGGGCCACCCCCTCCCCTCGCCCCCGCAGTCCCGACACCCTCGGGTAGCATCCCAGTCCCTCGTCAGCACCAGCTCCACCAGGGCATCGATACCCCCGCTCCCGACGAACCGATCACGCCATGTTCTCCGGCCGATCTTGGCTCCACCTCCACCAACGACTTCACCAACATCTAAGACGCCACAGCCGGCCACAAAATCGCCGCTAGCCCCGCCGCCGACACTAAACGCCGCCGGTTGGTACACCTCCCAGTCACCGTCGCTATTCCCATCGCCACCACCACCGTCACCGGCGGTGGCGGTGGCCGGCTCCTGTCCCGTTACCCCGTTCATGCCGGGCTTCATCTCCGGAGCGCTTTCGGTGAGACCACCGCCGCCAGTGAACGCCGCTATCGTGGCTAGGCGGACGGCCGTCGCGACGGAATTGCTCTCGTCGTGTTCGGACGCATGCTGCTGCTGTCCCACGCTCCGTTCGCCGCCGTTGCCGCCGCCGGGGGGCACGTCGGCGACGAGGAGGGGCGTGGATATGTCCCGGCTCAAGAGGTGCTCCACGATCATGAGCGAGTACAGGAGGCGGCTGGAGGAGGCGTCTTGCAGGAGGGACAGCGGGCCGCCCTCAACGGCCGCGGCGGCGGCGGCGGCGTGTCCTTGTCGCGCAATCGTCGACCCTGTGGTGAGGCCAATGGACCTGTGTGCGCAAGCGAGTCGCGTGGGTGGACCGTTCGGAGAGGTCACTATCGACATGGAAAACGCCGCCGTTGTTGGAAACCTCGCCGGTAGGTTGGACACACAAACGGGTTGGTTTATTCACGGAACGGCCATCGATAATGGACACACACGAAGAAAAAGTCGCTACGCTACGCTATCGCATGGGCGCACAAGGGCTTGAACCCAGTGGCAGCAAGGGGTCACGCAAACCGCGACAATACCTTACGAGCGTGAACGTGCTGGACAAACCGGTAGCGTTCACACTGCCAAAATAAAGAAAAAGCGAGGTGGGAAAAGAGACAGCGCACGGCGCCGTGAGATGTGAACTGCTGTAACGCACAAGCAAAGCGTGTTCCGGATAGCACGTGCAGCCGCGGCCTGTGCACAAAACGCAAACGGTTACGCAGGGGCGGCAAACCCGCACACGAATCAAAACCAACACAACGAACAACTACCGCCGCCTCTTCCAGATACAAATCACGCCAAGACTAACCAGCAGCAGCAACCCTAACCCTAACCCTAACCCGTACCCTACCCAGACTTACAAGAACCCGTTGAAGAGCCTCATGTTGGTCGGCATCTTCATCAGCAGATCCCACACTAAGACGCTCACGCTCTGCCCGGACTCCATGAGCTCGAACAGCGTGTCCACGGTTGACTGCTTCTCGAGCTCAAGGAGAGGAAGCTCCGAGGGCGGCGTGGCCTTCATGCAGCCTTCGACCACCACGCTACCGCCGCCGTTGCCAGCCACTACCCCGGCGCTGCTCATCTCCACGGGCAAGGAGGCGTCGCCATTCCCGCTCGAACATCCAGGTAGGCGGCCCGGCACCCCCTGTGCCGGCACCGCCTGCTCCGCCGGCTCCGCAGCAGCCACCGCCGCCGCCGCCGCCGCTTTTCTCGAGGGAGAAGGAGCGTGACCGTTGCTACCACCGCTGCTGCTTCCGGCCTCCGGTTGTTTCTTCGCGGGGCTGCTGCCGCTGCTTGTTTCGATGTCCATCGAGGTGGCGGCAGAGCCCCCACCCCCCTCGCCGCCACCAGGGCTGCCGCCATCAGCGCTACCGCTACCACCGTTACCACCGCCGCCGCTGCCCTTCCATGCCCTTCCCGGAGCAACGCCCACCGCAGCAAGGCCCTTTCGAGGAGCCGGGTCCGCGGTGTCGCAGGAGGCCGCGCGTTTTCGTCCCCGCTGAGCGGCGGCTGGCGAGCCCCGGGCGGCGGGGCTGCTGCCTGCGCCGTCTGCCTCTTCGCTCGGCTCTCGCGAGACCGGTCTCAGTACGGTCGGGGTGGCCGTTTCTCCATCCGGCTGCGGGGGCCTGACACGGAGCGTCAGCTTCGTCCGCGGTGTGTTTGTTGTCTGAGGGGTGGGCGGCCCCGCAGGGGGTAGGGGTAGGGGGGTCCAACAGGTGAGCTAAAGTATTGTACCAAGTAGAGCAGCAGGCACGATAGCATGGAAACTCAAAAGCACAAAGCAGCGAAAAAACACGGATGAGCTGGTCCGTGTTAAATACCCGCCCCTGAAGGGCCAAGAGGAGATCTACGCGTGGAGGCCCCGTATACTCCTCACACCCCCCTTGTTTTACTCCGACTTCCACGGCGTCTCTAACGCATAACGAATAACACAACCTACCCGTCCAACTGCGCTTGTCGATGGGGGGTACACAGGCTGGCATTGCTAGGGGGGCTAAGCCCTTGCTTTCAAGTTGATGCAACGAACACAAAAGACACAAAGATCCATCTACATCTGTGGCAAGGCATGGGCGAGATATTTGGTAAATCTGCACCGCCCACATCCAGTATGCCGTTGTCGAGTTGAATATGTGTGCCGCATTTGAAGGCTGAGGAATCAGCTCCCCCCGCCTCTCCTTCCGCCGGGATTCGGCTCAGGGGCTCCGTAGGTCACCCGTGTACCCGTACATGTCTACCTCCCCATGGAGGCGAACACAACGCTTGCATAAAGTCTACTCGCACACACGCAGTCTGTTTACAACAGATGAACGGCGTGCGGTGCTTGGATGTACTCTTAATGTTTCGTTTGCCCCCACCACCGCGGGTGGAAGGCGAGGGTTTGTTGACCTCATCGGTGATATGTAGCACCCAATAGCGCCCATGCCGGCATAGCACGGGGCTTGCCGGAACAATAAGTGTATGGGGGGGTGGGTGGGGGGGTGATACGCAGATGCAGCCTGGGAAAGACCGTGCTCTTATCTATTCCACCAGTTCGTGGTATACTTCTGTGGTTCGGGTTGTTGTGCCCAATGCACATCTCTCTGTCTCTGTCTCTCTGTCTCTCTCTCTCTCTCTCTCTCTCTCTCTCTCTCTTTCTCCTCTCGTTCCTTCCTCCTTGTCTCATTTTGTCTCACCCGCTGCTCGCTCGTCTGTGGCGTGAGCCGCTTCGCCGCGTGTACCATTGAACCTTCGAGAACCCCTTGCTCCTGGAAAAACAAGGGAAAGACACGACAAGACGGAAAACAGACAACACACGACAACATCGGTGGGAAGTTCATGCAGTAATCCGAGAGAGAGAGAGAGAGAGAGAGAGAGAGAGAGAGAGAGAGGCGGCGTACAATAGGCCGAAAGACGGCAGCAAAGTTTTCTTTCGTTTTGCGAAGCAGAAACACATCGCTTGTTTCTGACTTAATTACACAGGCGAAAAACAGCCGCAGCAAGAGGGACAATAAAACACAAAAAAACGAAACAGCAAGAAGGGAGAACGCATAGGGTTAGGGTCACAGGTCAGCTCAGCACGGACAAAACAACCCTTCAACACCCCCCCTTCGGAGGTGGAGATACCTCCAATGGGTAGTCTTCCTTGGGATTTCATGTTTATCTTCTAAAAAACTACCATGCTCCTGCCATTTTTACCTCGAGAGTCTTGTCGTCCGCGTCCATCTCGCGCCCCCGGTAGAGCAGGCGGGTCGTGCCTGCCGTCCACTCCGGGCCCAGGCTAATCGCGACGGCCTGCAGAACGGCAGCAGTCGGCCACCAAAACCAGCGGCCCGAAACCACTCACTGTTGAGACTTCCAACACATTGCTTCGGCTGGGGTACGTAATACTCCGTGTCTCGAACCGGACGTCATTACTGTTTCTCATTTTGACGGAACATACACATGAAACACACATACACCTTGTCGGGGGGGGGGGGGCGGGGNGGGGCGGGGACTGTAAATCGTGCAAGTTCACTTTTTCCCGCAGTTCAAGATTGACGATTTTTCATGGTCAGCCGGATAGATAGTAGCGCGGTTCAAAGCTTAATCAAAGAAACACACACGTGCGCACACACACCAGGGGCGTAGAGACCCACACCCTGGCGTTTCCCCCCACAACTCACAGAAATGACCTCGGATAGTTCGTGCCGTCAGCCATTCTAGCCTCAATTCTTACGACCCAAAAAACAACTTCACAGTAAAGACTGCAATACATCCCACTGTGGTTTGTATCTCGAACGCTCGAACGGCTAGTCTTTCTGCCATTGTATGTTTACTTTCTAAAACAATAAATATTCGCGAAGCGCTAAACCCTGGCCGTCCAGGCAATCTGCAAGAAGCGTGATCAATGTGCGAGCGTGTATGAGGGCCAAAGCTCAAGAGTGCGATCGCGGGGCGCCCGGATGGTACTCATATGATGAAATGTATCCCATCGTACCGCAAGACTTATTGATGCCTTCCGACAAAAAACATCCGCGGGGTTCTTCGCTCACCACCCTCAAGCTCTGCACGGTCTGGCCCGGGAAGACTTGTACCTCCGTTTCCTTCCCGCCGCTGGACTGCACCCGCACGGCCATCATGCTGCGCGAGTGCTGCAGTAGCTGCTGGTTCCCGCAATGGCTGTGCACCGACAGCCCCTGGGCGCGCATCCGATCGCCCGCCTCCTCGAGGTAGGCCAGCAGCAGCTGCAGGGAACGGGTCGCGCTAACCACGGCCGTCTTTCGCTGCTGCTGGGCGTTCCGGGGGGGGNTTGGAGGTACACCCTCGAGTGCCAAAAATGACGAATGAATCATATATGCTACAGGCATCAACAGTTTGATTGTAGTAGTCTTTCGTTCAAAACTTGATGCCTCGCTTCTCTCTGCGTAAAACACGCGAGGCCTCATTTGAATTTTCGTTGGGTCCGGGTTACCGTAAATGACACAAGATAACACACCCCCTGCACCGATTTTCAAATCTCGATTTCTCAACAACAGCAAGAGGCACGGCGCCGAAAACGGCGGCGTTGGAACCGTCTCGTCGAGAGCTTTCCAAATATGTATCGTTTCGTTTATGCATCCTCTTCATCATCGTGGAGTAATCGAGCGTTGAAAATTGATCCAGGGGGTGTGTCATCTTGTGTCATATACGGCAGGCAGGGTTAGGCCGGCAGAAGCACAGCGACCTCCCTGATCGCGCTCTACCACGGTCGACTGTCGCTCACGGTCAGGATTAAAGAAAACGTTAGGTTCGGGTGGGGGCTGGTCAGTTGTTTCCACGAGCAAAGGCGGACAGCATAACAGCAAAAGCTTGGGTTTCGCGAACGCAAAATCATGTTGAAATATTCCGAGGCTTGGGGGTCAGGTAGGTGCTCACGGAGTATCGCCGGAAGAACTACCGGCAAGGGCTGGTCACGAAAGAGCAACAACGATAACGCCAACAACAGCAACAGCAAATACCACAAGGCACCACAACCACCGGCGACCGCGGCAAGGCCAATACCCCCCCCCGCACCTGCGCTTCGACGCCAACGCTGCCCCCCTCGGAAGGCGACGCCCCCGCCCTCAGGGTGTCCGCGGCCCTCGCCAAGCGGTCGGTGCAGCGGGACACGAAGGCCGCGCGTTCTCTCGCCACAGCGTCGGCCGAAAGCTCGTCCGACACTTCCACGTGGAGGCAGAGCTGTTCGGTTTGGTGTATGGGGTCAAGAATGACCGTGAGCCGGTGGGTCAAAAGCAGAGGAGGGGGTAACCGGGATGGCTGTCGAGGGGAAAGGGGGTCGCCAGTACCAAGGAGCACCTACTTTTTCCCTCGGATACAACAACCGTGTCCTTGTCGTCAAAGTTGGCAATACAACCAAACGCTACCACGATCGTCCACATCGCACAGCTTACACTTTGCAACAAGATGTCAGCTGTTACGTCATGCACACTGAAAATTCACGGTAATGAGGGGAGCACTACAGCTGCAGTCGTCGTAGAGGCAGGCCGCAGAAAACTTGACCCGTCCGTCACATCGCTGTCTGGTGGCCTGGTGGCACCTGCATCGTTACTACTGCTGCCGTTGTCCCATGCACACTGTTGTTGAAACCATTCCAAGCAGCCGTCTACACCCACGTACCGGATTTTGAAAACTCGACGAAAGGCTCAGCCTGCTGCAAGAGACAGCGCATGCGTTCCCAAGTCCGATGATGCCGCAATTCGATGAAAAGGTCAGCCTGTTGAAGGAGCGCATGCTCTCAAAAGTCCGGTACAATGCCGTCGCACAGAACACATGACGAAACTCGGGGCGCTCAACAACAGAACAGCCGGCCAACCCAAAACGCGAAACTCGGGGTGCTCAACAACAGAACGGCAGACTAACACAACACACTCGGGCACCTCTCGACAACAGCAACTAACCTCGCACAGCTTCTTGATCGCCGCCTCGGACACTTCCTCCTCCTCCACTTCGAGCGCGATGCTCCACAGCGTCTCCAGCCCCAGCAGTTCCATGCTCACCACGACGTAACTCCCGACCCCCCCCCCATCCCCTGCGTCTCCCCCCGCCTCCCCCTCAGGCGGCTCGAGCTCCGCCATTGGCCCCGGCATCGGCCCTGGGTCTTCGGGGCTAGAGCCAGCGCTGCCGCCGCTGCCGCCGCTGCCGCCGCTAGGGCCACGGGGACGTAGGCATCCGCTGGCGAGGTTGGTGACCTCTAGGCAGCAGATAAAGAACCGGAACCCGGACGGGCGAAGCTTGTGGATGTCGAAGTGCTGCTGCTGCTGCCGCTGCCGCCGGCTCGTCGCGCGCTGCCGTCTGGCCTCCTCCCCCCCCACTGGTGATTGGGCAGAGGTGGAACGACGCGCGTCGTCGCTCACCGTCGCGGCGGCTGCGGCGCTATTGCTGCTGCCGTTGTCGCGTGTTGTTGTCGTTGACCCACCCCCGTTGCGTACTCTGCCGCCCGTGGCCTTGCCATCGACGGCCAGGAGATCCGGGGCAGGCACCGTCGTCGAGCCGCCCTGCATCCCCCGGCAGTGTCCATTCCCCACCGCCGGCCCCCCACCCTGACAGCACATGCGCTCGAAGAAAGTGCCCGCGAGGGCAGCGAGCCCCTCCGGCGCTTCCCTCCCCAGGCCCAGCAACGCCTGGAAGCTCGAGTCCAGCTCCGCGGTGGAAACAGCCCTCTCCACGAGGGCAAGCCACAGCCCCTCCGCCTGCCCCGGCGTGATGACGTGGGACGTGGCGCACACCAGCGTCTGCAGCAGGTTGAGGCGATACCGCATCGCGTCCAGGTGGGGGTACGCCCTACCCTCGAGGACGGCAGCGTCTACGGCTTCCCCCGACTCCAGGCCGAGCTCGCGCACCTTGTTGGAAGCGTACTCCTGCGGGCAGGGCGAGGGGGGAGGGGG